TTATTATAATTTAATTAATTTGTTTTATTTATTAATTTATATATTTTAATATTATTTCACATTTCATTTGCAATGTTGAATGTTCAATAAAAAGTTATGTTTGAAAGGATGTACTTGAATTATTATTATATATTATCATTATGTCTAAAATGGTCTTAAAACGGTGCTGACAATATTATCGTTTATCGCAATAATTTCCAGAAAGATTTATCGTCCAACACAATTAATTATCGTGACAGGCCTAACCCTGACCAAACGTCACTCCTCGACGATTATGGTGTGAGAGTGTGTTGGTATTACCTTTGTCAAGGAGGGTATGTTTCCGGCTTGATTTGTTTCTGTTTGTTGGTTTATTTGTTTGTCAGCAGTTTTATGGAAATCCTTCGGATTCATTTGAACTGAAACTTGGAAAAGGGTGTAACATGGGCCAAGGACAAACCCATAACATATTTGTTCATTCAAATTCAAATTGGAATTTAGTGCTTTTTCTATTTAACATGAAAAATGGTAAGAAAATATAGCAGTTTTTTTAATTGGAAAAAAGGTGGACCAACATCAAATAAAAAGGGTTGTGTCCTACTTGTGTCCTGGGTCGCATGACATGGAAGCTATTCAAAAATGATGCCCACTTAAGATACTGTTGTTAAGAGTAAGGGCTTGAATGTGAGCCAATTGTCCTCTGACTGACAACAGTCTAAGTAAGAAAATGCTGCAGCATCCACTGTCTGCTGAATATACAACCTAAAGCTAACTTTACTGCGGTCTCATCATAAAGTAAATACTGATTGCACAATGCTGTGGCTATGAAATAATGACTCCATCTGCTTTTAAGTTGGTTCCATATGAGCCTTGTTTCTTTATGCAATTATGGCTCCCACAGGGTACCATCTTCCGGGAGAATTAAGTCTCCATTGACGGCACAAAGGAAGCGTGTTGTTGCCCAAGCTGTGAGAAAAGTTGAGGGAGTTGAGAAGTTCTCTGTTTTAAATGAAGTAACATCATTTTGTATAGGGTATAGAAGTTGTGAGACTTGCGATTTAGGCTCTGAACAACTTCTCATACAGTCTACTTTTCCTTATAATTTGGGTTTAATTGGTCCTTTGGAAACATTATCATTAATTAACCAAGAAGATTTCAGAAATGTGTCCCTGCAACTTACACAAAGATAACATTAACTGTGACCCCAAAAAATACATAGTTAGTGGACGTTTGAGTGATTTTTAGATATCTCAAGCTAATTTAGAGGCTTCAAAGTGTATTTGCCAAAATTGTAAAACCAGAGGCATCATAGAACAGGATATCATTCTAAAAAATACCCTTTAGTTTGGAAAAAGGTCAACAACAATATAGGTAATAAAACGTGTCGCTGATAGCATATATGTTGTTGTTCTCTTCTAAAGGTGGTTAAAGGACAATTTAAATCATCACTGACTAAATGCCCATTACCAAAGGTACAAGACAAGCAAGCACTCAGCCACTATTTGTTGCAGAATTTCAACATTATGAATGCTCAGACTAGAATATAATGAAACACTTTGAACGATATTCGCCCCAATCCTCACCTTAAAAGAAAAACGACTGCAGAATTGTGGATATGAAGCAGCGCATAATTAGGCTGCATAGTTCCCTTCAGCATTTAGCCATTGGGTGGATGGTTTTCATTGCACCACCTGCCACCATTGTGAGGCAACACTTTTATCATCGCTGGTCCAGGTGGAAATTCTTCACCATTGCCATGCTCTTACCCATTGATCTGTCCAGGCCTCATCAATCAAATGATGATCTCATGAATTGCAAATCATGGTGTGAATGAATCACATGGCATTGACCAACTACAGTATGAGGATCTTCCCAGTTGAGTCTCTTAAGATGTTAGGTGTGTTTTACATATAGAGTACATACGAAAATAGATGTGTATTTCTTGTGATGTGAGTAATGATATTCATGGGAGCAGGTAAGTGGAAGCTGAAATCTATTATATCTAGCAGAGTGTGTTTGTTCTGTAGGAACAAATTGAATCTTTTGGATAGAAAGTAATTCTGTTGGATTTATAACCTTTCTGTGTTTCTTTCTTTCCTCTTTTTCTTCTCTTCTCTGCTCTACTACATCTGTGTCCCTATGCCCCATCTTCCTTTTCTTACTCATATGTAACCTTCTCCGTAATGTTGCCACTAACCTCCTCCACCATTGTCCTCATTTTGCATTCCCTCCATTTTCTTTTCTCACTTTCCCATTTCCGCAATCTACCCTTCATTTCAAAAACCATCCTCTAATGTTTTCCCATCTCTCTGCCCTTTATTACATCTGGGCCTAATCAACTCTTTGTCCTCCCAATCATTACTTGTATATGACTCCTATCACCATTATATTTATATTTCCTCCTGTGTATTTGTTTAAACATCTCTATCCCATCTCTCCAATCCCAATCACTTTGCCTCAAATGTATTCCATTTCAATGTATTATATCCTTCTCGCCCTTTTACATTGAACATTCATCCTCTTGACCCTTTCCCAAATCGCTTTCCCATTCATCCATGCCCCTTATACAATCTCCTCTCAGAATCCTCTCCATTTCCAACTGGCGATGCGGACCGTTGAGGCCCCACCGTCCCGTCTCCTCTCTACCCTTCTGATGATGAATGGCTGGTGGGACATCAGTATTCTGCTCTGTCAGGAATGGGACATAAGCGATTTCCTCGTCCTCGTCAAAAACAACACCCGCTTTCACCTGGGCACTCTAGTCAACCTGACAAGTACCGCTTCAACGTCTTCACCACCGCACTCAGGATTGGCATCAGGAGGGGAGACTTCTTCATCATCATCATCATCATCATCATCATCATCATCATCATCATCATCATCATCATCTTCCTCTTTGCCTTACTTCTCCCCTGCTGCCTCGTCCTCTGCTGCTTCTGCCTCCACTTCCTCCACTTCCTCTTTAAAATCGGACCAGCAGCAGGCTCTCATGCGGCAGCTGGAGGCCCTGAGAGAACCTTCGTCCACCAGGGGAGTGGTGACGTTTGGGTGCGAGATCCGCGAGGTGCGGCGCCTGTGGACGCTGGCCAGCCGGATGACGCTCCCAGAGTTTCACTGGGTTTTGGGGGACAGCCAGAATGTGGCCGAGCTGAGAACAGAGGGGTTGCCTCTGGGGCTACTAGCACACGGCATCATGGGATCCCCCTCTCTTGATCACTATGTGCAGGACTCGGTGGAGCTGGTCGCGCGGGCCGTGGGCAGTGCGGCCAAAGAGAACCCTGCCCTGGCACTCATACCTGGAACTACTAACTGTATGGATGTAATGCAGACTAACAGCAGTTCGGGGGAATACTTGTCAAGGTAAGGTATCATCTAAATACTTCATACAATACTTCAGATCACCCACACAACCCTGAGTTTGTGTGACTGCGAGGATATCATTGATTATTTGACAAGGATGGCAAAGGATGGCGTTAGATTTATAACTCTCAAGAGGTTTTCCAATGTTTTTCTTGTCATTTTCTACAAATCACTTTTATCAGAGTTGGAAACCATGTTGTTACAGTATGGACACGAAAAGCACCACTTCTTCTGTGAATCTTATAGTTTCTACTCAGATACGAATGATTTAAGAATCTACTGGAAATATAAACCTGGCCATTAAAACGCAGAATAACTAAGCAACTGTTTTCTATACCAACAGTCTATTTGTACATCAATCAGACACAGATAAGCGATAGCATTCATATAGAGTTCTGCTTCTGGGCAACCCGACATGTGCAAGTCCAACAATCACTCTGTGTGGAGTTGGCTGGGTAGCATAAAGTGGGTTTTTAGAGCCATTCCGCTCAAAACATCTGCCTGCCGCATCGAAAAACCTGGGTCATCTCTACCCTACAGCCCTCATTATACTTTCCCCCCTCCGTGCTTCTGTTTGTTATTCAGCTTCCTTTCTCTACTTTTGTCTCCTCTAATCCTCTCATTGTGGGAGAATGTACTTTTCTCACATCATGCAGATGTTTAGTCACAGTCCAGCTGCGATGCCAGTCTTGAATTCACCAGAAACACATTCATAGACATCTAAGGAGCATTCATGCAAAAGCAAGCAGCGATTGTAATAGACAATATATTTGCTCTATAAATGCAGCAGTGATGAATGGCATTTAGCAGCAAGCGCTGTAATCTGGAGCTAGGCCACTTTCGTTTATAGTTGCTCAGTAAGATATGAGCGACAAAGAGTGTGTGATCACCACCAATGCATTACCATAAGAGTTTGACCTTTCCTATTGAGATTCTCCTCAAAACACCTGAGTCGGCAGAACGATCATCCCGGGAAGAACATTTTTTGAAAGTGTTGAGCTCCCAAGGGCTGGAGGAGATTACTGATTGCCTTTGAATTATTTGCCTCAATTTAAGCTGTTATAAAGTGTTGATTAGTCTGGAAGTGTTTTACATATCCAAGCTGAAAGAACACGTGTTACAGGACCTTTTACCAGGTTTAGAAGTGCCCTGTCGGTGACCCTGTGAAGGCAGGGGATTCATTTAAAGAGGTTTAGTTTCCCATGTTGGATATGGGGTCTTAGCCAAGCTGTAACACACACCTGGGATTTAGAAAATGTCAGCCATATGCCTGGCTTCTTTATAGCTTTAGATAGCTTATATGATAAACTATAACCAGTTCTGGATGCTGTGAAAAGGAAAAATGTGTAACCTGCAAATGTAAAAATAGGCAGTTGAGAAAATGTTATTCCTTTTGCTTCAATTTGTTTCGACTGCCTCATCACTCTTTTCCAATTTCCGTAGATCTCTTTACAAATTGAAAGTTTGTTAAATTGTGTCAGATGTTGCTATCATCATCTATTACCACTTACTTCTGTATTGCAGTAAAGCAATTGGTTTTGGAATGTTCTTTAATCAGATTGTGGAGGCAGTGTAGTTTAGCTGTCAGATGTCACCTGTGTTTTTTCTGAGTATATTTCCTTTGGTTTTTCCATGAAGCTAGAAACCAGTGTTTTCATTCATATTAATATTGTTTTTTCCATTTATCTATACCTTTTTATATTGATTTCTACTGATCACATGCCATTGTTTAATCATGATATTCCACACAATGACAGAGGGCTCAAGGGGATAGAGAACGCCTGAGTAAATATATAAACTAGTTGAGGGTGCACCAAAGGTTGAAGTTAGCATTTACACATGAAAGATCCAGGAAGTCAGACTTCATATATTTTTAGATGCAATTTTGAAATATTTAGCTTCAGGGCTGACATTTAGATACAGGAGAAGTGCTTGGATGTGTTAAAGTTTGATATCATTCTATATTATTGCTGTTTTTATGAAGACTGGGTTCACCTGCGGTTCTTGGGATGAGATGAGATAGATGGAAGTTTGGAAAACAACAGAGTTCATATGATGAAAGTTCAGGGAGTTTACCTGAAATACTTTTTGGTCCATGCTATTTTAATTTATGACAAATTGCTTAAAACCCTGATGTTCTTAAACACAGTGCATGTAAAGGTCTAGATGACCTTTTCAATTGTTTCAGCGTTGTATAATGAAGAGGTATTATCAGTGGGGGGCTAGGAAGTACCCTTGTTGAATAAAAGTATAAACACATCACATCAGGTAAAAGGACTTTTGAGCAACTTTAGCTCATACAGGAAAACAAGAACACAAAAATACAAGCCTGAGGCATGTGTCATGACGAGACATGAAGTTGTCATTTGAAAATGTGCCACTGGTGGTCTAGTGATTTACAGGCTCTCAGGTGGGGTAGTGCATGAGGCAGTGTGCAGGACTGGAGGGGGTTACATTGACTTTAATATCTCCATCTGTTCCTGTTTCCATAATGTTTCCATGCAACAAAAAAAAGTCAATGATCTCATTTGAGACTAGTAAAACATATCAATCCACAATATCCTCTAGCTTGGTGTTAATGTGACTTCTATTTGTGTGCATGTTGTATGTGCAGAAACTAAAAGGTATTGTCATCTCACCATGATGAGAAGGAGATTGTTTTCTTAAAGGTCACCTATTATGCAAAATCCACCTTTTCTTGTGTTTTATACATAAACACTGTGTAAAGAGATTCTGAAAGTTTCAGGAAAAAAGATTTCGATCACTTTTTGTCCATTTATATAAAAACCTGTCTGAAAATTAGCTGATCAGATTTTGGCCACTTTATGATGTCATAACGATGTTCTCATTCGTAACACTCCGTTCGATGTCTCACTATGGGATGCGCCTCATCGCGGAGTAAACAGACGCATCAATCTCATTACGACAATCCTGATTGGCTGGTGATCTTGACGTCAGCGTCAGGGAATCCACCCCCCCTATAAGTAGCTTGCGCCACGTCGCAGCGTCATTCAAACACCTCTTCTCGCTTCAGAGCACATCTCGACATATCAGTAGCCGGGCTAGCTTAACAGTCCACAGAATGAACCCAAAGCTAACTTTCGGTCGACGGGCGCTCGCCGGCTACTTTTCTGCTTCGCAAGAAGACTGTTAATACTTACACACCAGTTAGTATTGCAATCTACCTCGCCGTTTCTTTCTTCGGAATTAAAGGTAAGGTTTTGATTTTTCAAGCTAGTGACACACCTGTTGCTAGCTTGCCTTCCCTCACTACCGACACCACGGTAGCGAGGAAGTTTTTTCTTTTTGTCTCTCACACCAGAGGAGGGGAAGATAAAAAGGTATTAACACACTAGTTAATATTCTTCTGAGAATAAA